TAAACAATCCAAGGGACCTTGCGTAAATAGTAGTGGAGGGCATGCAACTAGGGACGGATATCTATGGAAGATACCACTAGTCCATGTTGCAAGCCCCTTACCTTGCACCATACCAGCCTCTACAGCTTCCAACTCATCCTGATCATCTCCACCCCCATCTCCTCCAAATGCCAGTTTACCCAATTCAACTCCCACAACACTTTGGATCCAACCCTACTGGTCTCCACAACCACACACACCATTAATGGAACCAGTGACACCTCCTCCATCACCCCCACAGTCACCACCAGCCCCTCCCAATCCACTCGCACACGACATGGAATTTCAGGCAGAACTAGAAGCATCAGTAATCTACAACAGGGAAATAAGACCAATTCATGCAAGGCTAGATGGAATCAAGGTGTTTGTCCAGAAGGAGGAAGTACGAAAGAAAGATTTACATAAGGTGTCCTCCCAACTTGATGACAGTCTCATTTCGCTTAAGGCCAACCACAAATACAGACGCGGGCAAGTATGCAATGTCACTTTTACCAACTCTATGTTTGCTCCAGGCCAAAACAACAGTACCAGGATGCATGCAAGGAAGGACCAGCTGTTTGATCAAACTGATAGCCATATGAATTTTATTATATGGAATTGTAGAGGAGCTCATTCATCTGAGTTTTGCCGTAATTTTAGATCATTACTTGATTACAACCGCCCATCTTTGGTGGTTTTGCTAGAAACCCACAATCAAACACATCAGACTTTGAAGGAGGATTTTAATTTCACTGGCATGATCAAAGTGGCAGCAATAGGTCAGTCGGGTGCTATTGTATTATTATGGCTTACCGATGTCCTTGCCATTGAACCTGTGGCAACGACTGCACAAGAAATTCACTATCACATTCAGGTACACCCATTTTCATTTAAATGGTTGTTTACTGCTGTTTATGAAAGCACTGATTTGGTCAATAGGCAGACTTTATGGCAAAACCTTAGGTGTGTATTTGATAATTATAAAGGACCATGGCTTATAGGAGGAGATTTTAATGAAATAATTACTTCCACTGATAAATTTGGAGGCTTACCAATTAACAATTCACGGGCTAATCAATTTTTGGCATGTTTAAATTCTTGTCACTTAACTGATTTAGGATACAAAGGCAGTCATTACACTTGGACAAATGGTAGACATAATAAGTACAACATTCTTGAAAGAATTGATCGTATTAATGCAAACTATGAGTGGCTTGCAAACTATCCTGAGGCTTTAGTTACACATCTCCCACGTACACATTCCGATCATTGTCCCCTGCTACTAGAATTAAAACACTGTATATTACCTCGATTTTTTTTTTATAGATTTGAGACGATATGGACTACACATTCACAATTTCCTAGTATAGTCAAACAAGCATGGCTGGATAATTTAATGTTACTTCCAGCCATAACAAACATAGTCCAAGAATGGAATACATCCACTTTTGGTAATATTTTTAAACGAAAGAGAAAAAATTTGGCTAGATTAAATGGTATTCAATCTTCTTTAAACTACCCTACTAGCTAGTTCTTACATAATTTAGAGCATCAATTAAAAATAGATTTTAACCACATACTAAAGCTTGAGGAAGACTTTTGGAAGTTAAAGTCCCGTATTAAGGCAAATACAAAATTTTTCCATCTTACAACTTTAAATCGTCGAAGATATAATCGTTTAACAGCTCTGCAAGATCAAGGGGGAAACTGGATCACTGATCCACTACTAATTAGGAATCACATTACTAATTATTATCAAACCCTATTCAACACCCAACAAATTTCTTCTAAAAAAAACCCCACAATACAGCTCTCTATGTATTAACTCCTTAGGATTGTTTGTCTTTAACCAAACCTTTACAAGATCATGAAATTCTCACTGCAATCCATTCCTTCAAACCATTAAAAGCACCTGGACCAGATGGTCTTCACCCGCTCTTTTATCAAAAATATTGGGATACCATAGGTAGCTCTGTTAAGTATTTTTGTCATAAAATTTTTCTAGTTCATCAAATAAATCCTGCCATTAACACTACTTACATATGTTTAATTCCTAAACATAAGCATGCCGCTGCAATATCTCAATATCGACCTATCAGTCTTTGTAATACTATTTATAAGATTATAACCAAGTTAATCGTAAATAGACTAAAACCAATCCTGGAACACATTATACATCCAACTCAATCTAGTTTCCAGAAGAACAAAAGAGCAGCTGATAATGCTTTTATTGTTCAGGAAATTATTACAAAATTCCAAAGAATGAAGGGAAATAATTTAAATATGCTTCTTAAATTGGACCTTGAAAAGGCTTTTGACAAAATAGAATGGTCTTTCAATCATAACTCTTTAGTAACCTTAAGTTTTCCTCCAAATATTATTAAATTAATTATGTCTTGCATAACAACAACATCCACTTCAATTTTAATTAATGGAAACCCTACTGAATATTTCACACGAACCAGAGGCATACGACAGGGGGATCCATTATCACCTTATCTGTTTATCATTTTCCTAGAAATGCTTTCCCGAAAAATAAATATGGAAGTGGATTATTAATTGGTTACCTTTAGCTTTGGCTAACAGAGGTCCTCAACTACCTCATTTATTTTTTGCTGACGATATTATTCTCACAGCAAAAGTAACATCCCCTACGTGTCAATCAATTATTAATACACTGGCTCAATTCACTAATTTATCTATACAAACTATTAACTTTGATAAGTCAAAAATATTTTTCTCAAAAAACTGCACAACTCCTACTAGAACCTCTGTACTACAACTTTTTCACATGAATGAGGGAATTTTTTTTGGTAAATATCTAAGTTTCCCTATTTTTATAAGGCAACCAACAAAAAGGGATTACCAATCTTAATTGACAACTTTAAAAATAAGTTGGCAGGCTGGAAAACCAATTTTTTTTTTATCTAAAGTAGGAAGGACTACTTTAATTCGATCTACTTTAAGTCACCTTCCTAATCATCTTATGCAATATATTAACATTCCTACTTATATACTATCCCACCTTAATCGCTACCAAAGAAATTTTCTCTGGGGTACATCTCCTCAGAAGCAAAAATTACACTTCATTAAAAGGAGCACAATCACTCAACCTTTAGACCAAGGCGGTTTAGGAATACAAAACCTAGCTACTAAGAACAAAGCCTTACATGCAAGTCTTGCATGGAGACTGTTTCAAAATCCACACCAACTATGGGCACAGGTGCTCCTACACAAGTATATACGACCATCAAACTTAATTAAAACTAATGTCTCCTCTACTTGGCGCAATATCAAGAATGGATGGTCTCACTGTCGATTAGGATATAAATGGAATTTTATGAACGGACAACATATTAAATTCTGATCTGATCCTTGGATCCAGCCCAAATTATAAATTCGTAATTGCCTAACGGGACCTCTCCCTTGTCTTGAGGAAACAGAACTAGTCTCTAACTACTACTACAATCGTAGGTGGCACCTTGAAAAATTACCTTTTGTTATACCACATCAATAACAATCTAACATCCAAAATATCTACTTGCCTTTTTCACCTAGAATACATGATCAAATATACTGCGCTAATACACAAAATGGTCAATTCTCGGTCAAATCTATTTATAACTCTCTTATCAAACCCGTGACCTCACAATATTCTTATAAGTGGAGTTGGACACTTCCCATTCCTCCAAAAATATCCTTCTTCCTCAGGTTACTTTGCCATAATAGATTACCGATAGCGGTGTATCTTACAAATTTAGGAATCCTAACTTCATCTCTATGCCCACAATGTCATCTGGCCCCTGAAAATATAATTTATCTCTTTTTTGAATGCTCACATGCAACTCAATTATGGACTGATCTTCATCACTCCTTTCCCGATCCTAATTCCACTACATCCCCAACACCGAATATCAATTGGTTATACCAATTTATACATACACCTATACTATCTACTCTCCATAGAATACCTTCTACAACCTTTATGCCGTTTGCGTTATGGCATATTTGGATTATAAGAAATAAGAACACCTTTGAACATCAACGAATTCCTTTAAATATTCCTTTCATAATAAATATGGCAGCAGAATACTACTTCCTAACCACCCCAAAGTCAACACATAAGTGTGTAACTCCTCTATACATAAAATGGCATCCTTCAACAGGTTCTACTTATAAATTAAACATTGACGGCTCTTGCTCATCTATACAACAAAGGTATGGTATTGGAGGCATTTTTTCGCAACCATCAAGGCCATTGGATTTTAGGTTTCTCAGGTAAAGCAAACCCAGGTACAAGTGTCCAGACAGAACTTCTTGCACTCTTTATGGGATTAAAACTGGCAGTGCAACAACACCTCCAACAGCTGCATAGCCCTCCTATGCACTACACTAGCATCCTTAATGATTGCAGGTTACTCCTCCTACAGCTGCATAGACCTCCTATATTATCCATCTACAGAGAGCAGAATGGTGTTGCAGATACTTTAGCTAAATATGGATCCATCCATGCACAGGAGCAGTGCATACTTTTTGACACACCACCATCTTTTGTAGAGTCTCCATATCATAACGACTGTATCGGTATATTACAAAGGAGACTTGTTCCCGTAACTTCCAGTACATCAACACAACTGCACTCTGCTACTACTAGTTTGTGTAATAGTCATATTAACTCTAGTGATAATAGTATAGTATCTACTTTAAATTTTTAGTCTACTAATGCTTTCCCTAGAGGAAGCTTGGTTGTAAACCCTAGTTTAGCAACTATGATGCCTCTTATGCATCTACTACATTCTCATGTATCTGGTTAGTTTATATATAATATACGTTTATCCTTTTGACCAAAAAAAAAACGTAAATTTTTTACTATAAAATGGGGCTGATTGCGCTATTCTAGAATGGAAAGGGATGTCAACTGTAAACATAGGAAATTAGGGGAGCTTTTACGCAAAAATAAAAAGACTTCGTTGTTTCGCTGAAACGCTGCCCTCCGTGTATCTCACGCTGCTTTCACAAACCTTTCCCAAATTCAACATTCAAACTCACAATTCCATTCCTTCAATCGTCTCCCTTGTGCCTCTAATCCACCCGATTTCATATCCAAATCCACCCTCAAACCTTCAGAAATATACAAACAAGTGCACCCCAATCTGCAAAAAGATGCACATAATCTTCTGTATTTTCAATTCTAATCATTCTATTAGTTCCTAGCTTTTCTAATTTCAGAGTTCGAACGTTTTCTCTTTCTTCTAATTGGGTTTGTAATTGTGTATGATCGAAAATGTATAGCAATTTCAAGGAGCAAGCGATCGAGTACGTGAGGCAAGCAGTGCAAGAAGACAACGCTGGTAACTATGCAAAAGCATTCCCTCTTTACATGAACGCTTTGGAGTACTTCAAAACCCATTTAAAGTACGAGAAAAACCCTAAGATTAAGGAAGCGATTACTCAGAAATTTACCGAGTATTTGCGCCGGGCGGAGGAGATCCGAGCTGTGTTGGATGAGGGTGGGACCGGGCCAGGTCCGAATGGAGGGGATGCGGCTGTGGCGACAAGGCCCAAGACGAAGACGAAACCCAAGGATGGAGAAGATGGGGAGGATCCTGAACAGTCCAAGTTGAGGGCTGGGCTTAACTCCGCGATTGTTAGGGAGAAACCTAATATTAAGTGGAATGATGTTGCTGGGTTGGAAAGTGCTAAGCAAGCTTTGCAGGAAGCTGTTATTTTGCCTGTCAAGTTTCCTCAGTTCTTCACCGGTGAGTATTTGCTTTTATTTGGTACATTTGTATGGTTGCCATATTTTCTAGTGAAAAAATTGATTGGTACTGGGGATTGTATTTCTTAAAATTGATTCTTAAGTAGCTGTAAGTTCAACAATCAATGATCAATCAACTATACCTTAATCCCAAACTAGTTGGGCTTAGGCTGTGTGAATTCCTATAGATGCTCAACTCGTTTCGAGATCTAATGTCTAGATGATAAGAACTGAGAAAACTAGCTATCCTTCCAGCTCCAGGACATTCAGATTTTTCCTGAAAATGTTTACATTGCTAGATTTATAGCCTATTGAGTTAGATGAGCTAGATGACTTCATTAGCTCCTAGCGCAGCATATCTGAATTCACTATATAGGGTTAAGATTGACTTGCTTACACTGCTGAATAATCTATAGATTAAGATGTTACCAAGGAGCTAATTCGTTTGGAACTCAGTTGGTTGCTTCTATAGAGAAGGCGGAGCGTCCTTGGCTCAGCATTATAGCATATAACCAAAGAAATCAGGAGTAATCCCACTTTTTTTCCCTTTCCTTTCTTAGGTTTGCTAGATAGAAAGAAGGCGAAGAGCGCAATAAGGTAATTGATTCTAGTCAATGTTGGTAGTTTTGCTTCTGCGTGCTGTGACCAGGAAAATAAATTTGGAAATGCATCTTTAGTAGGACAGTGCTCAATCCAATTGTCATATCAAAATGAGATATTTCTGCCATCACCAACGAGAGAACCAGTTCTTTCCACAAAACTAGGCCATGTTAATGATTCTTTGATGAAGTGGGAGAAAAGAGTTTTTGTAACCAGGGTGGTTGAACCCTCATAGACATTACGTGTCCGCGTGCTTAGAGTAAATAATATAGTTTCTGAAGGGTAGTGAGTTTTCTTTTGAGACCAATAGGTTCAAACTTCGTATGTTGCATGTGTTGAATGATCTACTCCGCGTAGGTGTGGGCTTAAGTGGTTAGGGCTCAATAAAAAAGAGATCTTTCTAAAATAAAAGGTCACCTTTCTCTTTGCATCTCAATTCAATATATCCGTAGGTTTATAAATGAAGATTCACAGAACCTATTCAGGAGTTAGGGAATTGACTTGCAACGAATTGTGGTAGAATTCTGACTTTCAATAGAGCGACAGCAAACTGATATTATGCTCTACTCACCATGAAGAAATGTAAGATCGAGCTGCGCTCATGCATGCACCAATTAACACCATTTCTGATCTTTACCATATTTTTCATATGACCTTCTTCCACGGCCATTTCCTTTGTGTTGAACCTCCATAGCCATTTCATCGACATGCTGTCATCGACATGCTATGATTAATGTGTTCGAGCAGAAATTCTTCAATGCTTTCTTTGTTATTTGTCCATGTGGATAACTTGCAAATTCTGCACAGTTTAAGCTCAAGCATTGCAGTAATAACAGCTTACTTTGGGTAATATTTTAACGTTATATAGAATTTGTTACAGAAGATCCAGAGCACAGGACTTAGCAAGGTGGTTAGACACATTGAATTAATGTATTTGGACTACCTATTCGTGCTGATACACTGATTTATAGCTGTTGTATATTGGATCCCAGTTCTCCTCTTATGAGAGGAACTGCTACTTGTTTATTCATGAACAAGAAATATTCTTTCTGCTTGAGGAGGTAAACTTATGAAGCTACGGGGAACCTTCTGACACTAGGTGTCATGTTTGTGCGTGTAATACTTACTGCCGGTAAAGCTCATGCGATTCAGTTTGTGATTTCTCTCTGTTTTTATTGTCACCGTTCCCTCAAGAGCCCCTTCCTCATCATACCCAAAAAGTCAAAACTAGGGACAAAAAAGGTGAAGAACATGCTTTTGCTTTTATTTTTTCTCCTCATAGTAAATTAGAAGATGTTAATTAGCTCTGCAAAATTTTCCATCATCACCTAACTTTTCAAATTTTTTGAGTGCTTTCGTTCATCCTCACCTAAGTGTTTTCTTGCCTTTCTTATAGGCAAGAGGAGGCCATGGAGAGCTTTTCTTTTATATGGTCCTCCTGGGACAGGAAAATCTTACTTGGCCAAAGCTGTTGCTACTGAAGCGGAATCCACTTTTTTCAGGTATTATTCCTCCGATGTGCAATTATTCCTATTATTTACCCTCCATTTCGCTGCACACTTGAGCTAAGGATTAGACATTGCTTTTCTCACTGTGGCTTTGAGTCTGTAAAAATGCACAGGTTATAGTTATTCTCTATGTTTTGCTTGGACTCTCCAAAAATGTCATCGGGTGCGTGTCGGATTCTCCAAAAGCATTGTATTTTTGGAGAATCGAGTACGGGTGCGGCAGTGTTTCGGATAGTCCGCGCAACATAGGTTATTCTTTAGATTGTTAACGTCATATTCATCTGTCATAAGGACAATTTAAGAACAAGAGAGGAATCAGATTCTCCTCTGCAGGCCAAAAAAAGTTAAAGAACGCAAAATCAAAGAATAGGAGTTTCTAGAAGATGCCCACGGGGGGCAATGAAGGTGAGCTGTTGATGAAGTGGCTCTGATGAGATACTCATATAGACAGTTGGATAACTTGAGATATGACAGTGCATCATCTTGGTGTGTACTATTATTGAAATACTTTTGATTTATAAATAAAGATAAGATGTTCAATGAATTTTCGTCCCAATATTTGCTGTTCTTATATAGCTTCAATGACATGATATCAATGTCTTATGAGATGCTTGATTTCTTAAAGAATTTTAGATATGTGTATTCTCTTTGAAAAGTCGGCAGTATCCAATCTGAATAGATTTTTCATCTGTGTTTTTCTCTTTCCCTCATAGATATTTTTGATGAAATGCCTACATACGTGAGGAACATGCATGAATTCAGCTGCATTTCTGTTTCTGTCAGCTATTTGCTTATTTTTGTGCTTTCAAGAACTTAGTCTGTAAAGTTGGCAAGTGCCAACTGCTGTTTTTATGCAGTGTCTCATCATCGGACCTCGTTTCCAAGTGGATGGGTGAAAGTGAAAAGCTAGTTTCGAACCTATTCCAAATGGCTCGCGAAAGTGCCCCATCCATTATATTCGTCGATGAAATTGATTCCTTGTGTGGGCAGCGAGGAGAAGGAAATGAAAGTGAAGCTTCTAGACGTATTAAAACAGAACTGCTTGTGCAGATGCAGGTACTTGTTACACTGGGAAAGTAGTGAGTTCTCAATCAACCCCTTCCGGCAACCAGTACAAAACAAGAAAGGAAGGTCGGTTGGTTAAACAAATATCTTTGGCTTATCTAGTTTGTAATTTCAGGGTGTTGGACACAATGACGATAAAGTTCTTGTTCTTGCGGCAACAAATACACCCTATGCCCTAGATCAGGTAAAGAATGATCTATGATATAATATAGCAGATCGTAATGGTCTTTTGCTTACAGAAATTGTCCTCTGCAGGCTATACGCAGAAGATTTGATAAGCGCATCTACATTCCTCTACCAGATGCGAAGGCACGACAACACATGTTCAAAGTGAGTCCAGTTGTATTTCTGTTTAAAGTAAATTTAAGCAAATGTAATCTGATTCTAGTTTTATAAGAGCTAGACTTATTATTTTCATTTTGGCTCTTAAACTTTCCAGGTTCATTTAGGGGATACCCCCCATAACTTAAGTGAGAGTGACTTTGAAGACTTGGGCCGTAAAACAGAAGGTTTTTCTGGTTCGGATGTTTCTGTGTGTGTAAGTCTCTCAACCAAAAAGTGGAGCCATTCCTCTGGTTTCTTCCTTTCATATAACTATACTTTCTCTTCTTGAACAGGTCAAAGATGTACTCTTTGAACCTGTTCGTAAAACACAAGATGCTATGTTCTTCACCCAGAGATCTGATGGTACATGGATGCCGTGTGGACCGAAACAACCGGGTGCTGTGCAGACAACTATGCAGGAGCTTGATGCTAAAGGACTTGCATCTCAGGTACGTTCAGATAACCAGTGGCATAACTTATATTTCATGAGTTTGTTAATCCTTTTGCTTCTTTTCGTTGAATTTTAACTGGAATATGTCAAGAACTGCATATTTATGTTACTCAGAACTCCAGTTGGACAATCACTATAAATTGTTTTTCATATTACTTTTGGAGGATGCATGAGCTATATAATAATTTTAACTTAATGTGATTAGACATTGTGCTCCCGCTGATCTTTAACCTGCATATCAAGGTTTCAATAGGTAGTAAAATAGTAGTTTATGTTTAAATCAACAGATAAGATATCTGAGTATGAAGCTCCGATAATTGGTTGTTCTAATCTCTCTTACAGAAGATGCGCTAATTGACTGCTTGCTTATTAATGCCTTTGCAGATCATCCCTCCACCCATTTCGAAAACAGACTTTGATAAGGTGCTTGCTCGTCAACGACCAACAGTAAGTAAATCGGATCTTGATGTGCACGAAAGATTCACCAAGGAGTTTGGAGAAGAAGGTTGAAGAAACTGAGCGGCTATTCCTGCAGTTGCCAAGATTTGTAATTTACTTGTGTTTTGTGCCTGAAAAACACGATTCAAAGGCTCTTTAAATGGAAAGTTGACTTTGTTTACCCTTTCCTTCTGGGGTGTGTCAGTTTTACACTTCAAAATCTTATTGCAATTCAATTACTTCAGTAATTGTAAGCAACTGCAAGTACCAAAGTTTCTCTGATTTCCTCTTTATCATTATGTTCATAGTTATTCTGGAAAATCTGAACCTGCCTTTTTTTTCTTCTTATTTTTATGATGAATGTCATTGTACTTATCAGAACTTGGAAGTTAAAGGATCCTGCTTTTCAGGATTTACCAAAGAGTGCTCAGGATAAGCATTCCATATGCAAATAGCAACAATATGCCAGTGTGATCCAACAAGTTGGGTCTGGGGAGGATGGGGTGTGCGCAGACCTTGTGTTCCGTATGCAAATATCATTGTGAAATTGTCCGACTGCAACCTGCTGACATGTTATCGAAGCAATAGAACTGCCCACTAATAACCTCTGGAAACACCTGGTAATTTTCTATAAGAAACTGGGAAGTTCACACATCACTGTCTTCTAATAGGTTCAACGGACAAGCACATGCAAAGGCACTTGCACCAGACAAAAGTTGGTATCATCAGCTATTCAGGACTATCATGCTATTGCTTATTTTTGAGTCGATGGTAGTCTTCCAATATCAATAGTTTGATTGTTTTGCTCTTGTATATTTCCGAAGGAAAAAAAAAATCTGAGTTGTTTCCTAAATCTGTAAGAGTATTTGGGTTCTCCCAATAACTAAAAGGTATAGCATGCTTGAATCTTATTGTGGTTAGCGTTGGTAGAGAAACTGGATCGAAAAATATTACAAAATATATATACTATATTAACCACATTCAATATAAGTTCAAGACACATAAAGGATCTAACCATATTTCGACTTGTGATCAGTCCAAAGAAACCAATAGAAAATAAATAGGCACTCAAAACAAGTATATATTCAAGAATCATTAAACAACTACCTATCAATCTTAACTCCTTTTAATATGAATAGCAATTCAACAGATTTAATTGACTAGTATATAAGAAGTATGGAACAAAAATATATATTGGTACAAGATTGGCCTAAGATCTTTTTATTTATTTATACATCAAGAATTCAAATAGAATTGAAGGAAAATAAAGGGATATTTACCTAGATGTACTATAATAGAAACCTATTTACTACGTTTATTTAGGTTCCATGTTAATTACTTTATATACCTATATTTACTAGTTTTATACAAAATCATAAAAAGGAGGAAATGAAACATACCTTAAATATAGCGTATCAGTTACACATAATCTCCTACATTTAAGATTTTCTCTCTTTCTTTAACAATTACCCATATTTGTACTTACCCACCATAAGAATTCCCCCACTGATACCCAAAATCTTTCTAACCCAAAAATCTCGCTTACTCACTCCTCTTCCAAAGCTTTTGATATCCGATTTCTCTTTTTCAATCATCCACTGTTTTAATCCCAAAATTGCAGATTCTTTCCTCTTCCAAAGCTTTTGATATCCGATTTCTCTCTTGTTTTGAATCTTGTTTTCTTATTTTCTAAAATCATTATTGTATGTCACTTGTATATGATACATCAATACCCAAATACTTGATACAATACTAATACAATTATATTAGATTTTTAGTGTAGAGTTGTGATTGAAACTTGAAGAAGATGAAGATCATAATTGTATCACAATTTTTAAAAAATGTATCACGATTGTATTATAATTGTATATGTATAATAATTGTTGAAGGGATTGTATTATAAATGTATGATAATTGTATATTGTTACGAGCGGTTGTTGAGTTCGTGAAGAATTTCACGATTTGTATCACAAATATATGATAATTATATATTAATTTATTAGTATTGTATTGGGTATTATTTTGGGTATTAATGTACCATATCCAAGTTAGACACAATTGTGATACAAATATGATACAATTATGTTTTAGGTATTGATGTATCTGATATAATTCAAATACAATTACGATAAAATTATCATACAATTCCTGATTATTTCTTCATTTTCAGTGTTGTCCAATCTCCCAGCAAAAGAACGATATAATTGATGATTTTTAATAGTATAAAGCTGTCGGCAATGATGGGAAGAGAAAAGATGGAGATTATGGCGCAAATTAAGGGATTTTGATGTAAAAAAGGAAGGAGAGATAAGAGGAGAGGGAAAAAAGAAGGTAATGATGTAATTGAATCCCTTAATTGAAGGCACTAATAATGGTGTGTGAGCCTTTTAAGGAGCAATCTACATAATTTGTAAGAAAAACCTAGATTGTAACGACCCGGCCGGTCTTTTTGAGAGTTTACGCCCTGATCCCCTATTAACTGCTTCCCCCCGTGTCTATTTCTGCTATTGTGATTTGTCGGGATGGTTCATCTTGAGTTTCGGAGTGTTTTGGGACACTTAGTCCCTAAATGAGAATTTAAGTTTTAGAATTTGGACCGTAGTCGGAGCAGTGTGAAGACGGCTCCGGAATGGAATTCCGTCGATTCCGTTAGCTTCGTTGGATGATTTCGGGCTTAGGGGCGTGTCCGGATTACGTTTTGGAGGTCCGCAGCTTAATTAGACTTGAAATGCCGAAAGTTGAATTTTTGGAGTTTTCAAGCCGATAGTGAAATTTTGATATCGTGGTCGGTTCCGATTCTAGAAGTTGGAATAGGTCCGTAGTGTTGGATGTGACTTGTGTGCAAAATTTGGGGTCAATCAGACATGGTTTGGTTGGTTTCGGCATTGGTTGTAGAATTTTAGAAATTCAAGTTCATTAGGTTTGGATTGGAGAGTGATTCGTGGTTTTAGCGTTGTTCGATGTGATTTGAGGGCTTGACTAACTTCCTATGATGTTTTAGGATTGGTTGGTATGTTTGATTGAGGTCCCGGGGGCCTCGGGTGAGTTTCAGATGCTTAACGGATTGGAATTTAGACTTAGGCAACTTCTGAATTTGCTGAACATGTTGTTTTCGCACCTGCGGATTTTGGACCGCAGGTGCGGCGCCGCAGAAGCGACTTGATAATCGCAGATGCGGTCTGAGGCATGAAGATCATTGGTCGCAGATACGGCTCAAGGACCGCAGAAGTGTAATCGCATCTGCGAGGAGTAGAGCGCAGGTGCGGCATTTAGAGACAAAATGAATTTTCGCAGGTGCAGTTCCCTAGCCGCAGAAGCGGGACCCCATGACTGCAGATGCGGTAATTGCTAGGCAGAAATATGAAATTTCGAGGATTTGAAGTTCATAGCATCAAATTCGATTTTGAGCTCAGGAGAAGGCGATTTTGTGAGGTTTTTGAAGAGGAAATCAGTGGGTAACGATTCCTAACCCTATTTCGTTTATATTTCATCAATCTATTGTTGTTTTACTCATCTAATCAAGGAATTTGAGTGGAAAAAATGGAAATTTGGGGGAAAGGTTCCCCAATCGAGTTTTTGGGTTTTGATTGGGTTTTAGTTGTCGGAATTGAGTAATTTTTAGACGAGTGATCTCGTGAGTGAATGGGTGTTCTAAATTGGTAACTTTTTCCCGATTCCGAGACGTGGGCCCGGGGAGGATTTTTGGGCGTCTTTCTAATTTATCGCCGTAGCTTTAAATTCATTAGTTAAATTAGTTGCTTGTAGTTTTATTTACGTTATATAATCGATTTTATTAGATTTGGGCCACTCGGAGTTGGATACTCGTGGCAAGAGCGTGATATCGGATTGATTTTGAGCTGGTTCGAGGTAAGTGGCTTGCCTAACCTTGTGTGGGGGAACTCCTCTTAGGATTTTGTTACTGTTGTTATATCAATGCCGTGTGCGTGAGGTAACTAGTGCGTACATGTGCTAATTGTTGAAAACCCCCATTTTCATTACGTAAATATCTATCTTTTTCCTTTAATTGAGCAATACTAGTATATGAAGCCTCCTGCTTAGCTTAGGATAACATGCTTATGTGACTTAACTGGCTTATCTGCTTTAACTGCTTACTTGGATTATGTGTAGCATGTCTAGAGTAGGAATTTCCTGTTTTCTTGATATGAACTTGAATAGAACCGTCGATTTCTTGTTAAGACTGTTGTGTATTTACTTTGGGACTACGGATCGGTATTCCGGGAGATCCCCTTGCACATTTATATTTGGGGCTACGGGACGGTATCCCGGGAGATCCCCCTGTACTGGATATTTACTTTGGGACTACGAATGGGTATTCCGGGAGATCCCCCTGCGCATTTACGATTTGGACTACGGGACGGTATCCCGGGAGATCCTCTGCACATTTACGTTTGGGACTACGGGACGTTATCTTGGGAGATCCCCTGTTGCTATCTCTATGTACTGAGTTATTTCTTTCTGTGATTCCATCTTTATTAACTGTTAGTATTTTAATTATACTGTCATATTTCATACTGTTTTACCTTGTTATATATATAACCAGTAGGGCCTTGACCTGATCTCGTCACTACTTGACCGAGGTTAGGCTTGGCACTTACTGGGTACCGCCGTGGTGTACTCATGCCCTTTTCTGCACATGTTTTTCGTGTGCAGGTCCAGGTTCTTCAGCTAAGCCATACTATCCGTGAGGCGAGGCGATCCAGAGACTTCGAGGTATATCTGCCGCGTCCGCAGACCTAGAAGTCCCTCTCTATTCTCCCTTCAGTTATAGACTTCTTATATTTTCTTTCGTTTAGACTTCTGGAGTTAGAACACTATGTGTTTCTTTAGCTTGTGATTCATGAGATTCCGGGTTTTGGGAGTGCTATGGTCAGTTGAGAGTGTTGTTATTGTATATGCCGAGCGGCATTTTCAACTCTTTTATTATATCACCTGCAAAAGGTTAGTTTCGTATCTCTATTATATTTTTTCGTAAATTGTTAGGCTTACCTAGTCGTAGAGACTAGGTGCCGTCACAACAGTTCACGGAGGGAGAACTTGGGTCGTGACATAGATACTTATTAAAAACTACAAAACATAGAGAAGATAGGTAATTAAGTTTCTAATATAGTAGAATTAGGTAAAAATACGAAAATAAATGTGATAAGAGGTACTCAAATTGGATCACTGATTGGTTTTTAGGTTTCATCGTAAACCTAATTGATTATTTTCAATTACGTAAATTAATAGTTCAAACCACATTCAAATATAGGGGTTTTTCCATTTTTATAGGAACTTCTGTACAAGAAATAATGGTATCTAAA